CAAAAACACAATGGTGCATAAAGGTTTGATAACGTCTCCTGTAACACTAGCAATGAATCGTACTCTTAAAATTAGCAGAAACTGAAGAACAGTAGACCAATATCACTAAGCGTTCCACGCAAGCGTGACGCCGCCATAACTGTAGTTCAAAAGAAGTAGGCTCCCGTGCACGAGGCAGCTCGTGCCGTCTCGTGCTCTGCTCGCGCAGACCTCCAGCGTGGTTGCTGCACGTGCAGAAAAACTACAGTTCCCACGATGCATGGCGACAGCGGTGGCGTAATCAAACTAGCTGGTGTGATCGGTCTGTTGGTACTGTGTTCCACTACCCCGCTGCTTATACTCAGTTTCCTACTCCATATACAACGCTGTCAAAGCTGCAGGCGCGATCATGGGGCTTGATCTCGTTAATCATTTTCACGCGGTCACGGGCAAACGAAACCATAGATACGCCAAAAAAATTCGCCGAAAAAATTCACTGACACGCCAAAAAAATTAAAAGTTCCCGCCAGTGCACTGTGACGTACAGTGTACCGCAAGGTGTCGGGGCGGTCAGAAGGGCGGCATCGCCGGAAGTCACGTGAGTTGTATCACTCCTCGTGCTTACCGCGTGTAACCTTTTTTTTTAAATATTATTTTTATTCTCCGCGTTTCCGTGAGCAATCCAAGCAGACAAAGTTTCTTTTATTGGCTTTTCATTGCCTAACGTTGCTGTAAATGTAGAAGAAGAGGAAGTGAACCTAATAAACAAGTTCTACACATGTTCTAGACAAAACACGTACTTTATGCTCGACGTTTACTTGTACTTGCTACAATCACCAGTTCGTATTCTCTAGATGGCAGGCATCTGCTGCCTGGAGAGTATCCGATAATTCGACGACCTTGGTGTCTGAACCTTCAGTAATACAATCGGGCGTGTCGCATGCTAGCCATCCTAATTTCAGCAAGCGTTCTAAATTGTTTTTTTTTTTTTTTTTTTTCAAATTTCGATAGCTTGTATTGTGTCCAGTATGGCTCTGTACCATCGGACTGATGGAATGCACTCGTACACTGGCTTGTACTCGCAACGCACTTGTCAATCCTTCGCATTACAAGTGACGCGGAGCGTTTCGTGTGAGTTGCCTATAGCTACGCTTTCACGCCTTTGCCTTTGACCAAAATACACACTGGCTTCTATGTGAAGTGCAGCGAAACTAACACCGCCGGATGTTCAAGACTTGCTCTAGGCCGGCAAAAGTGGTGAATCGTATCTTCCGGAGCGTATATTTATCAAACTACCCCTAATGACCCACATTTTATACTCAAAGTTTGAAAACGAAGTACGTAAAAGGTTTGCAAGTGTGGCGATAACGGCAGCCTATGTTGTTAAGCTTCACTGCTTAAAGGGGCCCTGCAATCATATTTAAGCGTCTACCTTTTCTGCGGTTTTTACGTCTCTTGCGGTTTGGGCAAGCCAGCGGGCACGGAGAGAATAACTAAATATCAGTGCGTCATATTTTAACCGAACGACGCGGAAACCTCCTCCACCGACGAGGGCGACCCGCGGTACCGAAAGCGCGCAAAATGTGACGTCCTTGGTACTGGTCTTACTACTGGTCAGAGCCGCTAAAAGCTTCTTTTTAGTCGAAATACAAAATATAAGTGGCGCGAACCGTTTCATTTATATATAAAAGTAGTTTTTGTTCAGTATTTTAGATCAGAAAAGAAACGAATGTAGTTTATAAAGTACGGAAACAAGAAATGACCCGTCGCATACCCGCCACCAAGCGGTGGAAAAGGCGGCGCATACTAGAGAGGAGTAGTGGGATCAGGCGCCGGACACGGAAAGGTACCGGATGTACGTGACGGCGCTGCGGTCTTATGGACAGGAGGATCCGACCGGCTCCGAGTGTTCCGAAGGCCTTCGGCGAGAAGCTTTGTCTTGCGGTTTTGCCGTTTCGCGGTATGGCAGCGCGAAGTGGCTCCCATTCTGAACTGATCTTCACCCCATGTTTGCTGCCGTTTGTGGCCAATGAAGTGTCAAGCCGAATTAGTGTTTAATCGCGCAGCAAATGCAATGCGAGCCGTTCTGGCAGCCCGCTCCATACAGCCTATCCATGGATGGATGGATGGATGGATCCGGCTGAGCCTTTTGGATCGGGCGGTAGCTTACGCCACCTAGCCATTTTTTTTTACCATTTAAGCTTAGAATATTTAAAATGTGAAAGCTATATTCACTCCGCACTGAAAAGAAAGTGAGGGTATAAAACCCCCTTACCTTTAGTAAATAAGAAAATACGTAGTTTTCTCTCTTTTCTTCACCATTCGCTTAATCTTTGCTTGGTAATCTTTACTGTCTTGAAATCCACTTTTCCTTCGCTGTCTCTAAAACCCAATGACTTTATTAAATCTATGTTGTCTTCGGTAGGCATAGGGTGAAGCCCTTTACAGTAGAGTATCAAGCGCTCAGCCGTCTCGTCCTCCTCTACACAAGCAGCGCACACTGTACCCATTTCCTGGTACTTCGCTCTGTACGTTCGGGTTTGCAAAACACCTGTCCTTGCCTGAAACAACAATGAGCTTCCCCTACAATTGTCATAAATGCTTTCTTTGGAAATAACTGTTTTGTTTAATCTATAGCTTTCCAGCGCCGTCTTTGTCTGCATTCCCTCTAGCCACCGAGCTCTTTCTGTGGCCTTAACTTTCTTCTTAACTGAGACCTGCTCTTCCGTAACTCCACTATAGCCTAAAAACTTTTCTCATAATTTCCTAGTGCGCTGTCTCAAATTTGTGTATATACTCCTCATGTATAAATAGCTGAAAGCCATTCGTGACCATTGCTCCCCATCCATTTGCCTCAACCGATCCTCAAATTCTATCTTGCTCACAGCTTCCCTGCCCTCAAATGACGCCCATCCAATGTCTCCTTGAACTCCCTGGTTTGGCGTTTTGCAATGTGCCCCCAAAGCCAGCCCACCTACTCCACGCTTTATTATTTCTAGTCTTGCATGCACATCGGATTTCATGCATAGTACTGCGTTTCCAAAGGTCAAGCCAGGCAGCATGACCCCTTTCCAAATCTCTCTCACCAGTGTCACCACCTCATACCTGTTGTAATTTCAAAGTGCTCTATTTTTCATTACTGCTACATTTCTGTTGCTCTTACCTATTATATACTTTTCATGCTCACTGCGATATTCTGCACCACCACATATCCATACTCCTAGATACTTGTATTTACTATCTCTCTCAACTGCAATATTCTGTATCTTCACCCTCACAACTTCATCATTGTTAAAAATCATGACTGCTGATTTTTCACTACTGAATTCTAAACATAATTCCTCTCCTTCCCTACCACAGATGCTCATTAATTCCTGCAACTCTGTCCTGTTGTTAGTCATTAGTACGATATCATCCGCATACATCAATCCCGGTAAGGATTGCTGAATTTTTCGGCTTAGCTTACTGTACGAAAGGTCGAATCCATGCCCACTCTTCTCTAGTCTTTCCTCCAATCCTCTCAGATACAACATAAACGGCAAAGGCGATAACGGGCACCCCTGCCTAAGGCCTCGTCTTATCTCTCTTTTTTTCCCTGTTGCATTTCCTTCTCATGTTATAATCATCTTATTATCTTTGTAAATGTTCCTTAATATCGCTGAACATGCTTTAGTGGCGCCCTCTCGTGCCGTCGACACGGACTGCGGCAGCCGTGAGCGCCGCAGTCCGTGTCGACGCTCACTACGCCTCCTCTAGTTCACGGCCACTCAACGAACCAAGGACGTCATGAGGGAGGTTATTTTTGCTTGTTTTTGTCATTTTAATTTGCATAAACTTTTAGAATAAAGCGAATTTCGAGAAAAGGAAAGTTTCACTAAGTTGCTACGTTCAGTGCACTCAGGTTTGGTGCAAACTAAAAACCAGTAAAAAAAGTCCTTGCAGGGCCCCTTTAAGTGTAGAGGGGCAGAGGCTCTGTCAGCCATCATGTTTTTCTCCCCACACCGAAAATTCCGCGAAGCAAATAAAGCAAAAATGCAGAAAAACGCATGAGAGGGGGCGTTTATTTTGATCGCGATTTCAATAGGCGGAAGCTTAGCTTCATATAGGGAAACCGCAATTAAGCTGCGCATAATTCACAGGGTGTTTGGTGAATGGGTCTGGACGACTTTTTCCCGAAAAATAACACGAGGGATGTATTTCAGTGTACCAACCATAGAAAGGCAAAAAAAAAAAAAGTGTGAACAAAACCCCGCACACTCAAATGTCGCTTAGGGTAACTTAATCTAATTCCACGTTGTTGAAGAATAAGAAAAAAAAGTGCACAATCGAAGTTCGGAGTTTCTCATTTAGTTGCCTTTATAAAAATACTTGTTTGTCTACTTGTATTGCGAGCACATCGCCCATTTCATATGCTATAATAATTGACAGCCTAAGAAATGCAGTACGGGCGAGTTCCGATTTTCTGAATATTGCCTTTTAGCAAAGCAGATTGCGGCATGACCCAATAGAAAACATGAAGGAAGAACGAATCACGAAGAAAGAAGTGTGAGCATATTATGGCCACGTCCGGCGTTTCTTAAGCTGTCAGCGAATACGATAGTCCGATTCATTAGACAATGAGTAACAGCGACCGCAAAACCACCATTCATTAACAGGGGACTCCAGAGGACGATGGTGGAATAACAAAAGCTCCCCTCAGTTTCGTCATCAAGAAAGAACTGACAGACTACGACGTTCCCGTAGAGGACTTCAAACGACCCGAAGAAATGAACTCGCAGCATGGCTGCCGCGTCTTCCCACCTGCCACCAGGAGCGGGTTATCTAAGCAACGTGTTTCTTGCTCAGTCTGCCACAAGCATCTCGCGAACCGTACGACATTGCAAAAGCACCTCCGCATTCACACAGACGAGAAACCCTTCAAGTGCGAACACTGTCAAAGACGTTTCCGACAGAAAGAACACTGCGAAAAGCACGGCAGGATCCACAGTCAGGGAAACGGGTACGAGTGCCTCGTCTGCACCATGACGTTCGGAAGACGCCACTTCCTGGCGAAGCACATGCTTGTCTGCCACAACACGGATATCCTCGCTCATCCATCGCTGGCCGCGCAGGTCCGCCGACCTCCGGCGCCGGAGTCGAAAGCGAACTTTCTTCAAGCAGGACCGGTCAATACGTCCAATCCGGTGACCCTTAACAGCTGCGGCGTGTGCGGGAAAGTGTTCAGGCAGCGCTACAACCTGAAGCGCCACATGAGGACTCAGCACGAGGAACCGAGCAATGTGTGCACGGTCTGCGCCAAGGTATTCAAGAGGGCTTCCGGTCTCAAGACCCACAAGCTTACCCACGCCGGGTTGAAGCCATTTCGCTGCGGACTGTGCGCCCGGTGCTTCACGCAGAAGCATCATCTGATCAGGCATCAGCTGGTGCATCTCCCCAAAGTCAACATCGTATGTTCCATCTGCAGGAAGGGATTCCGCTACGCGTCGGGCTTCTTCGAACACATGGCGGTCCATGAGGCCACAAACGAGGCCAGGGGAAAGCCTGCGTTAGGAGCGGAGATGATCTGCTATGGCACGCCCGGCGCGACGCTGCACCGCTCGCCGCACTTTCAGTCGCAGTTTGTGCTCTTTGATCCCTCCGACATGGAGTGCATGTTTTGCGACGCGACACTGCCGGGTCCCGAGCCCCTCCACGATCATCTCGTTGATCACTGCGAACAGATTGCGCCGGAGACCACTGGTTTTTTCAGGTGCAACAGTGGCGCAGCCGACGAAATCCTGGGCCTATGAGGCTGTTAACTGTTTTCCTCTCAGGTTACTAGGATAAATAAAGGCACGTTTTTTTTAGAGATTTTATGCCATAAACTATGTCATTTGACGATGTGGACTTGTGAGCGTGGCTGAAGACGCACGCTTAAATCTAACGAAATTCACACTTCAGAATGTAACATTTGTACTGGATATAATAACCACCATACGCATTGAACCAGCATTTGACATTATAAACAAGTTCAAATATATTTATATATTAAAACTGTACGCCACGGTTAAAATGTTCTTCTGCAAGGAAACCTCACAGGGTATTTATGTTCGCCGAGGTTTTTATTTTTACATGACCTATAAAAGCCCAACTCGACAGAACACAATTTGCGACTCAAAATTACGTTTCTTTCCGCCTGAAAACAGCCAGTCAAGAGTTGGCCGGTTTCAGTCGCGCTCACTCTCTTTTCCATGGCCACGTTACGTTCAAACTATGTGGTGTACCAAATAGAATCACAGTCCTGGGTCATCTTAAGTACACATTAAATATCAAAAATAGAAAAAAGCAGGAACCTCATTTTTGTGGCCACCAAAAAGCTGCAAACGCGTTCATAGAAAAAATGCGCAGATCAAAGGAAGCACATTCCCCGGACAGTCGAGTCCGAGGTTCCCCGGACAGTCGAGTCCGGGAAACCTCGGACTCATTAGAAAAGCTTTGACCCCTTTGGGCATCTGGACTGTGTTCAAGCCTGCGTACACTTTGGCGAACGCGTTTTCTAAGCCGAAAGACATTACCCCCTCCAACGCTCAGACAGGTGTGGTGTGCGAGATGAACTGTGTGGACTGTATGGACAGCGACGCCACGTACATTAGAGAAACCGGCAGACGGAGGAGCACTCGGCTTAAGGAGCACTGAGGGGATGTGGTGAAGGCCACGCATGCCACTAGAAGTAAGTCCGTGCTCGTCGACCACAGCTGGACGACTGGGCATACGTTTGACTTGGACAATGCGGCGACCTTCGCTCATGAGCAGCGTTGGGGCCCGAGCAAGTTCGTGGAACCGTGGTTTATCCGACGTGACCCCAAGGCGTGTAAAACAAACCGGGGCCCCCTACCGGACGTTTACGGGGACTTGTTGGATTAGAGTGGATTGGTTTTGACTCTCCCCACAACCGGGCCAGTGCATACTGATGATGTCACCCGGATAGGTGGCGAAACGTCTGTGTTGTTGTTATTGTTGTTGAGTTAAGCCAGAGTAAACTTATTTCATTATCTATACCCACGTTCGTGAACAGACGAAACAAAACCGATATTCCCTTGTTTCAACGTCAACACATTCAGAGTTCCCCACCCAAGTTAAGGCCTCTTAGCGTGAGCTACGTTGACAGAAACGTAACGCAGTGCACCGCATAAAGGACCGATATATGAAGAGAAAACACCACCGGGGTCAACAGTAGTCAGAGTGTGGTCCCCAGACCCTAGATAGCGGTCAAAGAAGACCCGTATGGGCCCTGGGCGTGTCCAGGAGGCGCCGCAGTCGGGCGACAGTCAGCGCCTCCACCGGCAAAGCGAAACAATGGGCAGTCGCCCCCACGCGTTGTTTGTTTCTCCTGCTTCCTTTCTCGTTGCTAACTTTCAAACGCGGCGCTGGCTTGTTTGAGTGCGTACGTCCCCGCATGTATTGAAAACAAGGTGACTGTGGCTTGTCTGAGGTAGAGCTTAGCTTTTCCTTCGGTATAGTGGACGCAATGCTACAAAAATATCCTGGATAATTAATTAAATGCACCCTTACGCAGAAGGCACCCCCGCATTACGGTCTTAGGTTGACTTCCGTCTTTGGGTGCTAATCAACGTGATTAACGTGCACTAGATCTATTTTTATTTAGAGGATACTACAGGCCATTTAAGGTCCAAGTAGGTGTGGGATACAACATATATATTCACACATACAACGAAAGCAAATAACACGACATTAAAAGGTTTACAACAACTAACTAGCGAATATACAGGATATATTATTTAAAAAAAAAGGGGAAGGGGGGGGGGGGGAAGCAAGCATCAAGCAGTATGTAATTCCATCATGCACTAATACAAAATGACCTATCCAAATGTAGTATGAAGGTTTATACAATCCTAATGTCCATGCGAAAAAGATGAAGGTGCAGCAATGTACAAAGCTAAACATACTAGTTATCAAGACGCTCGAGACCTTCTACAAAGTTGGTGTCGATAAATAGTTCGAGAGGTAAACCGTTCCAGTCTCTAATAGTGCGAGGGAAAAAGCTAAACTTAAACATATTAGTACGCGCAAAAATGGGTTTTAGTGAAAACTGATGTCTGTGCCGCGTAGCTCTTGACGCTAAAGGGGAAATATATTGCAATGGGTTTATGCGAGGCTGTCCTTGCTGAAGGTGAAACAAGAATTTCAACCGCGCTAGTTTCCTTCTGGCCTGAAGAGTCTGTATTCCGTTAGCCTGCATAAGTTGAGATGGTGAATCCAGCCTTCTATACTTTCCGTAAATAAACCTAACCGCTCGACGTTGCACCATCTCCAACTTCCGGATATCTTTCTGAGTGAATGGATCCCAAACGATATTTGCATACTCCAACTTGGATCTGACTAATGAATAATACGCGTGTAGCTGAACCTGAATCGGAGCGTCGTTCAACTTTCTTTTAATGAAACCCAACTTCCTGGATGCCGAGGTACAGATATGTTTTATATGAGGAGACCAAGAAAGTGTGTCCGATATAATTAAACCAAGATATTTACATTCTCTCTCCACAGTAACCGGGGTGTCCGCGATATTATAAATGTATTCAAAGGGTTGCTTCTTTTTTGTAATACGTAAAAGTGTTGATTTAGCAGAGTTAAGCTTCATTTTCCCCGTACCGCACCCTGATACAACGGAATGCAAACTATGATCTAGCAGATATATATAGTCTGCCCTTATTAGTTTTTTTTTGTATAGAATGTCGTATTTGGTAGCAACTCTGGAAATTTGTTTGAGGTATGATTAATTTTATTGAGATAATACTTTTATTGTTGGCTAACATTTGCAAGAAGCTTTATTGTTTTATTTTTTAGTTATTGTGTTTATATTCTTCATCCAAATTACACAAACACTGTTGAAACAGTAGTCAAGCACAATCCCATGGCGTCATTTTCGCAAATTTGCGCTATGTCGCTTTTCTTAATATCTTACGGAAATAAATTTCGCGATCTGCAATAAACTGGTCAATATTTTCTATCTCTGAATAATATATTTGTATGAGAAACCTTTTCGGGATTGTTTTCGATTCAAAGAACCACCGCGATATATGACTGGTTTAAAACATGCAAACGCTGATTTGTTTCAACCTAAGTAGAAGCAACTTTAAATTTATTGACTGCCATGTTGGCGCATCGCAACATGACCAGAAAGACCAACGATAATAGTTACTGCAGAAAGGGGACAAGGGGGACAAAGAACGTACACATATCTCCAACCAAAACTAAATAACTGGCGCGCAACTAAAAAAAAAAAAAAAACAACGCGGTAGAGCATTTTACTGGAAATGGAGCGGTCACTGGTTCGATACCAGGACCAGGCGGATTCTTTCAGTCGCACACCAGTCACCTAGCTGTGGTTCGAGATTTGTGTTAGTCAATTGTCCCCCTTGTTCAACTCCTCCAGGGACTATTATTGTTTTTCTTGTCCACCTCGCTCGCACCTCTGCATTAATTGCAATATCATCATAACGATGAAGACAACGTTACGGCGAAAATAAGGGTGGTGCTAAACCTTTTGCCTTAACGGGACATAAGACCGCGGTTCAGGAGAGGACGTGTATTTGAAAAGATCGTTATGAATAACCCAAAGTATACATACATTTTCTTTCTCAACGGAAGTGTTGTTTAAATGTTTGGCGCAACCTGACCTAAGTATTTTCAAGCGCAACTTAGATAAATATGCATATCATATTGTATCAATATTTCGACTTCAAAAAAAAAAAAAAAAACTATACTCTATCTGAGGGAATTGTGTGCAGCAAAGGCAAAGGTATAGGCGCGGGCGCATGACTTTCAAATGCGCTTTCTTTTCGAAAGTGCTCGTGGAAGGAATGGAAATCTGAACTCAACGCGTTCGCGCATGTATTTTGCCTCCTTTGCACGCAACTCAAGAAATGCAATATATGTAAAACACTTCAAATTGTTTAACGAATTCACAGTCAACATATATAAAACAACAAATAACAACTTGATATGTCTGTGAAGAACGCTCTGAAACCCTTCACCAAATAGCGAAATCAAGCCCCATCAAGACAGCGTATCCAAGCAAGAACGCTGTTTTTGTATCTTGAATAAATTCAGGGCAAAAATATGTCTACTTCGCTCAATTTTTTCGCCGGCCGCACGCCAAAACGTTCTGGCGTGCGGGGTGATATCTCACTAAAACACTCCACAAATGTGATTTTGGCTGAGCACTACAACAAAACAAATGTATGACCGAAACACAGGGTCAATTAAGTGATCGCCAGAGCTTAGGAAATTCATAGTTTGGTACAAAATGTAACATCTTACCTAGAAACCATCACAGTCGTCACGTGCCCCCATCATATACGAGAATCAATGACATAACTTTTTTGAAGCGTTAGGATAAGACACGATATATTTTTAATGGCAGACTGCAAATGTGAAAAAAGCGTTCGTTTTTTTGTGCTGTTGCGCGCGAGGCAACGTATGCAACGCAAGTACAGCATCTTTAACGGCACAAAGGACGAAACGAACTTCCCATCGTTACGGAAGTTGGGCACCGGATGGCGCGGCCTTTCAGGGCAAACTCCATTCCGCTGTTTCTATACGCTCGCCAGATGGAACGTAGCGTCACTTGCCAGTGGATGCTGCGTGTATTTGGCACGCTGACTGGACGGAATCACACCCTCGATTTCATCGTTTATATAACCCGTCTTCGGAAACAATGAAATTCGCGCCGACCCCATAAGTAACATTATTCCCTCCTATTAGCACATGTCCTGAAACCGAAGCC